CCCCCCTCCCCCCAAAAAAGAAATGAGCGGCTAATGATAAAGTTCTAGAGAGCTTGGGGCGGCGTAGCTGCAGATCGGGCGCCGCGTATGCGGTTGCTATAGTCCTGGATTTGATTCCTGACCTTTGAACCTATGGTGCATGTCTTCCCCTTCTTCTACCCCTTCTAATTTCCTGTCTGATTACTGTCAACAGTGGCACAAAAAAATGTTTCAAATCCTTGACTGTAAAGGTGTGGACAAGATGTGACATCAAAATGCCGAGATATTTCTCGCTAAAGTCAAGTCTGTCTCACGATGTTCACTTGGTGTCTCAGCATAACTTCGTCTGTTTGAAGTCGGTGTTTCTAGACTCATATTTTAACGTAAGAAAGGGAAGTTGCTCTGTTATCAGACTGATTGGTAACGACTGCTTATTGGGGTGGTTGACAACTCTCGATTTCAACAGTCAATCGATAATTGTCCACAGAGGTTTGTGGATTTCAACAGAAAAAGGGTCGGGGTCAATACGCCCTGTCTTCTTACCCCCGTCTTGTTCCCACGTGTCGCCATTTCCTCTCTTCCTACTTCCATTTTGTACCCATGCAGTCCACTTTGATTGGAATCCTATAGACAGTGTGGACAGATTTTAAAAAGTGAGAAAAAATATATACATACTTGGAGCCTGAAAGTGCAGATGGGTTAATGTGACTTGCGCTCTGGGTTCACCACAAGTCACGCTTTTCCAGACTCAAATTTAGAACATTCCTAACATATAAACACCAAGGAAAGATGGGTTTACCTGCTCTATTTGTTATCAGCTCATTACCAACCCCAGTGGTGGATTTGCCTTCAAACTCAGCAGTGTGTCGAATGGCCTTTTTGTTGTACTTTTGGCAAAAATGGTAATTTAGATCACATTTCAAAATAAAGCGGATACGAGCGACTGGTATCCGCTGGTATCCATGGATACCAGCGGATACGAATCCACAAACAGATTAATTTGTGGATTTTTCTGTGGAACATTGAGTCGATTGGCTGTTGCCCCCAAAAACTGAGATATGGAAGACCACTGTGCATATTAGCTCATGTTAACATATATTTGGTGTTTGAATTATTAAAATAGGTATTCAGAAACATTTCTGGTCTCAAGTATTACAGGATTTCAGCTGTTTGTGAGTGGTTGTGGTCCCTAACCATCACAAACAAAAGGGTTCAGCTGTATATTTTGCTTAATGCACTATTGTTTTGTGATTTGTGATCATTTTGTTATTATGTATTAAAAGTATGTTTTTAAAAAATGCCATTTTAATGCTTGGTTTGGTACTTAAACCACACCCAGGAGTGATATGAACCCCTGAGGTAAGACTCTTTCCACGGTTTGGATTTTTGAACCAGTGTCTGTATTTCACTGTGGGTTTTCTGGCAGTAACTCAACAACAAAATAGTATTATTTAATTTGGAAAAAAAAAAAAAAATCAACTTTAAAAAATAACTTTATTTGCTTGACAATTAAACAGAATCAAATTGAGAAACCAAAATATATTTTTTTTCTATACCAAAACAAAAGTCTCTTTTTGTCTAAGTAGATAATGTGGAAGAAAAAGTTCCATACTTTTTAAAATTAGGAATCTACACATATTAAGACTGCATAGGAAGCTGACGTAGTATAAATATGCTTCAATGGTCAATATGACTAAGAAAATGCTTTATAAGTTCAGTGCATTTCTTATTTACCTGGACTCAACTTTTGGACACTAATGCTCTTTAAGACAGTTTTTGAGTTTTGAAATCTTCAGCCTGTTTGGGAAAACAGAAATAATTTCTTGTCTTGTTCTCATGGAATGAATATCGAGTATCGTCTTGTCCTGTGAGTCATATGTATCAACTCCTCCTTAATCACCCCTTAAAATTCACGTCCTCAAAAAGAAATCTAAAGCGTGAGAGGTGGAGGGATCTCTGCACCCGACGAACCGACCGAACGCGAGTCGCCGCCTCCGTAAGCATGCCGTAGAGCGGCGTAAAGACAACACAGGTGCCCAGAAACATACCTTCTCCTTCAATCATACGAGGAGTACACACACAAATGCAAACAAGGAAGAAAAAAAAAAAAAAAAAAAAAACAGACATACACAGATGGCATTTTCAGTCAAGGCTGGTGAGTCCTGTTTCTCATTAAAACACGGAGGGGGGAGAAAAGGTATGGCGCTTTGATGTAGCCACCCACAGCCCTTCAGTGTCATTGAAAGAAACTTTGAAGCTTTTTGTGTTTACACAGTTAATGTCGATAATAAAGCAAACATCTTGCCTTTGTTAAATACCTGCTCTCGGCTCCGTGCCGGCGTGCACGCAACGCCCGAGTTGAAACGGGACGACATAAAAAGAACACATCATCGGCGCAACAAAGAGCGGTAAACATGAAAACAACGGCGGCGTACGGATGATTGCAGGCCAGACATGAGAACACATGCGAACAATATGCTTTACATTCGGGAAAGCCGTGAGGATCGGAATGCATTTCGGCCTCGTCCGCGTCAACAAATGAAACGGCTTTAATGCGAAAGGATAATAAAAACAAAACAAGACAAAAAAAAAAATAAAATAAAATAAAAAAAGAAAGATGCACTGATTTCATTCAGGTGGGTGAAGATTTCCTGCCAAGACACCTCATGTAATGCGGCAGAAAGCATGATAAGAAAACATTTCTGATTTGATGAGGTAACATAATTGCTTCCCAATGCAAACCCACCAGAGTGTAACATGTGCTGGAAATTATCAAGGAGACAGACAGAGGTGTTTGTCCTTAAAAGAGTATTAAACACACACACGCACGCACACACACACACACACATAAAAAAAAACAAAAGAAAAAAATCCCACGGCAGGCAACTTTTATGGGATAATTTAAATCCTCTGCTCGGATGGCGCGCATTCCTTATGAAAATTGAAAGATCAATCATCTCTGTGACAGATCTGTTGTGAAAGAAGTTCTTCCTGTCTTTTGAAGAGAAAATGCTAAACATGTTTGCTCCACCAGTCGTCACCCCCTCCACCCCCCCCCCCCGCCTCGGCATTCCCTTCCTCACCCCGCCTCCGTCCAAACAAACCCG